TACATTTAAAAATGTTGGGGGACGTGTCTCCCGTCTTCCCGTGGCTTCTTCGTCAATGACCCCCATCTCGATGACGTGTTTCGTCCAGTTTATTTTGATTCAATTAGCACATGCGGATATGGTTTCTTGCTTCTGGCTAGTAAATGTAGCATCACCATCTGTACACGTTTTCTTGAGCTTTGGTTGTGCTAGATATGTGAGAGTGGTTTAATTATTCGTGAACGGCAGTAGTACATATGAAATCGTTACGGATCGAATCATATCGAATCGCTTTTCGATGCAAATACATTCCATTAGTCAAGAGCGAATAATCTATCTCATCATTTGTTGCCAAAAACGCCCGTTTCTACCTCCTATTCATAACACGACTTCATTATTATACCTAAAAGGGGGAAGGGATTTGGAGCTCAAGAAAACTAGTGCAGATTCTCCGCAGAAAGGACAATTTGAATTTATTTTTTTGGAGTTAAATAGATCAATTAATCTAAATTATGGAACAATATTTTATAATATTTGTTAGACAAGTAATATCTAACAATAATCAATGTTCAAACTAATTAAATTTTTGTTTTTAATGTACAAAAATTATATTGCAATGCATGTACTGATTTGTAATATAATTAATTTATAATATATTAAAATTAAATTATATTTTGTTTTTTTTTCTGCATTCTAAACCGATTTAAATGCGATGTACAATAAAATTTTAACATTTCCTTTTTAACGGCTACCGTAGTAATAAGCCAGAAACTGGAGGATTAGAAATGTAATGTTTCATCTGGGGGAGGGGGGAGCATTTATAAGTGTTACACTTTCCTTGTTGTTATTTAATGTCGCATCAATATATGTCACTAGTGGCCACTATTGTATTTAACGGTACGGAGACTGTGAAGATGACAGGGGATGATGGGGGTTAAAGGACGGATACAAACACAACCATGCCCGAGGCGGGACTCGAACACGCGATCCTTCGGTCCGAGATCGCTACGGCACCGGTTGACGATCTCCACCACCCGGACCGGCGTGTGATAAACTTTGTTACGGGGAAGGCAAAAAAAATTGACCAGTTTTTTTTTGTCCCCGAACGTGAGTTTTTGTCCGCGCAGACAGAGTCCGTTGCGCACTGTGCGACGCTGAGAGGTTTCGAAACGCGACTGGATGGGCGTCTTCCGGCGAGGCCCTCGCGCAGGCGGCCGCGCTCTCCGGGCGCCTGCGCGGTTGGCGTGCGCTGGAGCAACCGCCCGTTCCGCGAACATTCGGTCGGGCGGTTTTTCGTCGGGCACTCGCGTGGCTCGCGGGCGCGTTCGTGTGCTGAGAATTGGCAAGTATTGTGCGTCGCGTTGGTTGTTTAACCGAGTGCATGAAGTTGTGTATCCGAAAGGTAGTTGAGTACATTAGCCAGATATCCAGACAAGGCGTCTGGTTTTCTATTTAAACAGCTTTTGAAGTCTCAGTAGTTATTAATTAATTTAATTAAGTACAATTGTTGCGTTAATAAAAATGTTAATAGTGATTTTGGGGTACACAAAGTCATCGAACTTCGAATTATATTTTCTAATTACTTCCACGCGGTTTTTGGAACTCTTGACCACGAAGTATAGTTCCTACGCGTATTTTCGTTGCGAAAGTCGTTTCTCGTAGTTTATTTTTTTCATTGGAGATGTAAATAGGCGTACTACTATATTCTGTTACTGTCTTGCAAGTCCAGAGCATCAGGAAACCTTTTTTGTGAGCAGTCAGAAAAGTAATTATTTTCCGTGTAACGAATTTCGGAGAATCGTTCCACAAACTTTCTCTCTTAACTAATGTTGTGAACGGTTAATTTATCTCTGTTGTAGTTAAAACAATCAAGTAATTTCTCAGCTTTTTCCGTGGAATTTTCCCTGTTGCCTATATTTACTATTTTCTGTTTTAACCTTCATTTATAATGCTAAAGCTTATGGATGTTAAATAAATGATATTGATACTGATATAATACGTTTTACCAACAATGATCTCACTAATATACAAATTGTACAGGCAAAAAAATTCGTGTGGTCTCTTTTATCTTATTCTCTTACTTTTTACTTCTCCCAAGAGTAATCAAGGCTTGAATTAGTCAATTGGAACTTGTAGTGAACATAAATTAGTGGGGACCAGCAATACAGATGTTTTTGTATTATTCTCGAGTAGCTGGGAATCTAACGAAACCATAATCATCTCCCAACAGGCCGGAGTATTCATAGTTTTTTTAAATTTTCTACGCGCATTTCAAATTAGTAATTTAGTTACTTGCCGTACCAGCATCTGAACTATAGTATTTACATGTGGTTCAAGAATTACAGTATTATTACGATTGTGTCAGAAATTTGATGAATACATAATATCCACCCATGTCCAAATATTCGAGAGAGAATGCTGAAGCATATCTGCCTTACCATGACCTTTTAAGCACGCTCTTCTGACATTTCCGCGATCTTTCCAAGTACTGGACAAGTAGCCAATGAAGCAGCCAAATGTTTGATGACGTCTGAGGGAATTGTAAAAGATTTTACGGCGTATAAAATAAACTGAATATTTCGTTTTTCTTAAGTCCTGGCATTTTATTCCTCCCGAGCTGCCAATCCACTGCAACTTTATGACCGAACATTGCACCATAAAATGTATTATCGACCTTAGCTGCCATATAGATTGTACATGCGGTATTTCGTGTGAAGATTTATGGGTTCAATATTTTCTTAATGGCTTCATATTTTAAATGCCCTTTCACCAAAAGGTATCAGGAAGACGGTACGTTTATTGCAAATTAAAATATACCAGAAAGTAATTTTCAGGTTATTATAAACTCTAGAATAATTGGCGTTCTCCGACAGAATGATGTATTGTTTCTATGTTGTAATTTATTATGCGTTCATTTGGGTAATTATGTAGAGCAAAATCATTATTCGCATCATTTCACAAGAGCAACTGTATTGGATTACATGAAAATAAGTAATTTTTTTGTGTATGTGTAGTTTTGTTGTTTACAGAGTTATTAATGGAATTAACGTGTTCATGAACCGTCAAGTTTTTACGCAGTGCCATAAACTGCGTTGTGTTCTGCATTTGGCACTGATCTGTTTCTAGTATTATATAATTGTCGCAAAATAAGCGGGCTTTCTTCATATCCAATCCTTGTGAACGAAGAATAAGATCAATTTTATGTAAATCACGGTGTTTAAAATGTAATATTTAATGTAATTGTTTCAGTTTTTAATAAAATACTACAATTTTCTCTCATTTCACTTTACATAATATTGATATTTGCTTTTTTTCTTTTTCATCTTGCCCTCTGCTACTGGCTTCTAGCTAATCTAAGGTACCATTTCTGCTGCACTGCTACTGACCTCTGACGGAATATATTTGGAAGAAATCTGCTTTTATCGACAGGCGAAAAATAATGATTCTGGTGGATCTCCCAACGTATTACTTAAATTATTTATTTTCCGCATTTGGGTTGTATTAATCGTTACCTAACTTTGCGAGGGCACTGCGACAATCCTGAAAAGAGCCTGGAAAAATTTCGTTTTATTCATACACTTTTTTTGTCGGTATCATTGGTTACATGTTGAATTCATATATATATTTATATATGATATATATTTATATATGTATGTGATATTTATATATATAGTTATTTATATATATATATATATATATATATATATGTATATATATATATATATATAATTCTCGTTTCACAAGATATTGTGTGCAGTACATGGAGTTAAGTCCCTTTTTGTGTCGTGAAGTGTTTGGTTGTATAGGGAGTCATTTATGGACTCAACGTGTAATAAATAGGAAGCAGCTATTAATGAAGTCTCTTTATTTCCTTTAGAACGATTTCGTTTAGTTCATAAAAAATTTTGTTATGATAAAAGGAAATGACTCATTTTTATACGTCCTTTTATGTCGATTATAAGTCACTTTTTACCTTTTCCCGTAATTTTTAATCCATTTTTTGCTGATTTCATCAATTTTAATACCATTTTTGTGGTACTTCACATAATATTTACGAGATGCAACAAATGTTCTTAACAGTATTTCTGAGTAGCATATTCGATTTCTTCGCTAGAAATGGTAATGACAGCCGTTGTATGTAATCTAACGTCTATCAACGCCATTGCAGGTTCGGCCGTTTCCGGGATAACTAAAGACAGAGATTTTCTGGTCAAGAACAGTCCAAACCAAAAGTTTGCAAACTGTGTTTACTTTAACGAATGGAAGTTTTGATTACCTACGTCTGTAACGTATCCAACAGCTTTAGTTGTTCATCCGAACGGGTTGTGATAAACTTTGCACATCATTTTTCTTTGTTTTTAGAACATTTTAAGAGCGATTTATTGATAATTTTTCGCAATCAATATTCGCCCCTAGTGATAAACAACTACGTTCAGTATTCGGCATCGGCCTACTTCTTGTATTACATACAGTACTGCTCAAAAAACCGCATCATTTTCAGCCCAGATATAATCTGCAATATAATCCTTCAAATACACCACTTGATTTGCAAAAATCGAACGAGTTATGAAAGTAATGGAATCAGAAAATCATATAATTCATATAAAATATACGATTACCAAATTCTACTAATATTTGTTTAAAAATTTTCGAGATCAGACTGGATCCGAAAAAATGAATGTCCATTTTTGTTAGATGATGCTGTTTCTTTACGGCCTATTGTAATATTGTGGATTTGTGAGCACGTGTGTTAATATTTAATTGGCTGTCCGGGTGACACCGCGTCCATGGCAAAGGTGCCGACGTTTCGGTCGCCATTCTGCGACCTTCCCCAGGGCGTAATGCCAGGACCGAAACGTTGGCACCTCTGCCATGGACGCGGCGTCACCCGGACAGCGAATTAAATACTGACTGCGCGCGCAGAAGCCTACGCTCTCACGTGTGTTAATATCCCCGCTGTTGCCTTCGCAGGTCCGCGCCCCGCCGCCAGCATGCGCTCCCCGGCGCCCAGCCGCCCCCGCACGCCGGCGCTGCTGTCGGCGGCGTGCGGCGCGGCGCTGGCGCTGGCGCTGCTGGCGCAGTTGGCGCCCGCCGCCGCCCACGTGGCGCTCACCTACCCGCCGGCGCGCCAACTCGACCTGGACTTCCTCGACAACTCGCGCACCAAGGGGCCCTGCGGCATGCCGAAGGGTGAGTGGCGCGCTGATGTGTTGGGCGTGGCGGTGAAGGGTCGAATAGGAAGTTCGCATTCACGGGTTAAGGGAGTATAAAAGTAATGATTTATTGCTTAAGGGAAGCCATCAAGGCACCATATCTTTACCTTGTTAATTTGGATGTGCATTTGACGCATTATCTCAGAAGCTAGTTCAAACTAATATTGTAAAATTTGAGGAGTAGCTTCGTGGAAATAGTTTAATTAAATACGAGCAAATTTCTATTTTGAATGTTTTTTGTAATTAACAGCATATTTGCAGTAAAAGTTTAAAAAATACATTTTCCCTGTACTTTTATGGACAAATCCTGAAGTATGAAACTAACTGTAATACTCATTTTGGTACCGTATATTATTTCATACTTAGTTGACCTACAAAAAATGAATATTATCACTTGATTAATTTCAGAGACTATGGGACAAATATGTTCCCTAATGTAATTTTTCAGAAATGTGCTCGAAGTTAATACGCCAACGATACCAGTCACTTTCTTATGGTAACAAGTAAACAAAACACATTCGCCGCGTAAATGAGATATAGATGATTAAGTTTTGCCGATCATGCAGCATTAATTAATGAACTTCTCTCTAGCATTTAGTGAAAACAATAGTCTTTTAATTGAGGTATTTCAAAAGATATAGCGTAAATGAAAGATATAACTGAAATAATTGCCATTTTCGCATATGCAAATGAAGGAACAAAACAGTATGTTAAGATAAAATATATTTCACTGTATTCAGAAACATCCAAATATTTAGAAAATGTTAAAATCCCAAAAATATACAAATAAAATTGAAACGTTTGCTTTGTCTTTCCCAAAAAATAAACGGCCACTAATATACGCCCGTGTATCACAAACGTTCCTTTTGAGTACAGGTAGAGTGCTTGCTTAAGTGATTAGAAACATGGCAAAATTTTTTGCATCAACTGATTCATGGTAAAGGGGCTATGAAGTACACAGTCAATAATTGTCATATAAAGAGCGTCTAAGTGGACTTGTGCGTTTTAGAGGTCGTTCGTAGTACATTGCCCGTATTTCTGGTGCACTTTTTCGTACTATGCATAATGTGGTGCCTAGCGAACTTCGAATATTCTGCGAAATCATTGACTTCGATTTCCAAAATATAAGTGATAATAAGTAGGACCATAACCTAATCTGGTAATAAGGAGGTTGTATGACAAACCCGTAGTAAGAGAGCTGGCGATCTCCAAACCAATAAATGGTCACTCATTACCCACTAATTTCAGAAGAAGGGCTACTTGTGAATCAGAAGTAGTCAGCTAATAAACTGTAGTGTGCAGTGTGAATTCGGCTCAAAATCACCCACGTGATATTGGATTGCTCGGAACCCTGAAAAATATTCTATATCCAAATCCTGGAATCTTAACGACTCTTTTGACGCTACATCTTACAACTCAGGTGCATTGCGAAAATTACTTCGGACGGTTTAGTACGCATAAGTCCGCTTCAGCGTATAGTTTCATTATCAGGAGGCCGTGGTATGTTCGTTTGTCTTCCCGTTCTGTTAAAAGGGAAGACATTCAATTTTTTGAAAAAATGAACCCAGGACAGTAGAGAACGTAGGGCCAGGTCGATTGAAGAATTTCTCCTGATGTGCCCTGAAAGTCTTAGTATTTAAATTCAGTTTTCGATGGTGGCGTTGCTCACTATTTCAGAAGAGGCAATGATATTTTACAAATGGTGAGGGATGCATTTTATTAGGCAGGGGCATATTTGAAACCAATTTAATTTTCGTAAGAGATAATATTCATTTACATATTGTAATACGTCCTCGAATTACAAATAGTGTATTTGCATTGGAGTGCATTATACACCGAACGTCAATGTTTTACTTTCACCACCCTTTAGACGGTCACCTAATTGCGTATTGCCATGCAGACGTCATTGTCTATAAAACTTTTTTTTTCGTTGTTTGAGTTGTTCGACCACCGTTCACGAAAAAAAGATTTTTCCTGCTAGACTGGTTTTTAACTTTGTACTGAGGGTAAGAAGCGCATGGTGGAGAATAGGGCATTGTAATTGTGGAAAAAATCAAATCCTCCGCCCCTAATATTTCAAGTTTTATTGAATTTTCATAACCATGTAAAATGTCTAACAACTAATATAAAATGTCAAACACGTTTTATAACATATATTTGACTACCGAATATAATATCGAAATACAAATAAATGAAAATGGGTAAGAACAGAATGGTGTAATGATGAGTAATTTCATAGGCGCTCTTTGCAATCTATGAAATTATTTTCTAGCATTTTCATTTGTAGACATCGATAGTTGAACTCCAATGATACGACTTCCCTCATACGCTAATGCACTACGCACGATTTCATTCCCAAAAATATCTTATTCTAGTTGTGTGGAGTGTTGAAATGTCAACGATAAGTGACTGGTGGTCATGTGTGAATTCATGTTCTCACGTAATAATAATGATGATGAGGATAACAATAATAATAGTAATATTAAATAATATTTAATACTTCTAATAATAATACTAAATAATAATAAATAATTATAATGTTGATCATTATCTTTTATTTTTTAGCCGTGATTAAGCGAGGCGATGATCATATTCACATTTTTTACCGTAACGTTTTTTCAAACACCTACCGAAATTCAACAGTATGCTTCGCCAACTCTCAGTCCTATTCCACGAAATCCTTAAATAATTTTTTTGATATCAGAATTGATTTCAGCTGTTATTTCATGGAAACTGTGATATAACACGCAGCTTTGTAAACGAACAGTTGGCAGCAGCAAGTGGCAAGGAAACGTGTTGGTTAAATGGCAGCAAAATAGCAAATAAATACATGCAAATGCACTATTGTCTTCGAGGATTTGATAAGTGGGTGGTCCTCTGTCCGCTGTATTTCTTTGGCTTTTCCAATTGTTATCCCTCAAGGCATTTACTCGTGTTTGAATTACAAAAGTGGGCCTGTTTGTCCATTATCTGGTTATGGCAGAGAAGAGAAAGTCTGCAAGTGGCCAGGAAGTAGCCTCGCGTGAAGGAAGTGCGTGCGTGCGTGCGAGAGTGGTCGTGTGACAGGGGAGATGTGCGTGTTAAGTGGGCATCCCAACACGCATTCAATTGCTTCTGCACACGCGCCGCTGTCGCATTTCAGCAACGCCAGGCTCCCAAAGGAGTCGCATCGGTAGAACTTCCGTGATGGGAGCGTTTTCGGCGATGGAGAAACCCGCTAGCCGCAATTCGTAGCCCGGATCTGAAGATACGTACGGTAAAACGTCAAAAAAATAATTCTCGCTTCTCCCGGGGGTTCCTTTTTTGGAGGCAACGATTCTTCGTGCACGATTTTCTGTTATGTGTTCCATCATTGCGCGAACTCGTAGCGAAAGCAAGATTCTTTAATTGTTTAGTTGTGTTGTATTTTTAACCGATTTCCATTTATAGATTCAAAATGTTTTTATAGTTTTTGTTTGTCGTGTTGTGGCCTTTCTTTTTATCTATCTTGTCGTCCACTTTCACTTTTTCCCAAAGTATGAATGGAATTACTAACTTTTCTGATAGAAAATTATTATTTCAATGTTTCTTGTTTTCTGGCTCATATTGAAATGTACTCGGGTTTAACTACATAGTAGAATTTTATAATTTTATATAGTGTGTTTAAGTTTGTGAAAAGTATTCTTGGTCTTGAGAATTCAGATTAAACGCCTCGTTAATACGTACACAACCATAGTAGATAGATTGTTCAAAACTTGATTTTAGTACCAATGTGCTCCAGCGTACCCTCTGTTCTTAAGATTTCGTTGATCTGCTCACAGAGCATAGAGATTCCTAAGGCTTGCCGTCTGCTCACAACTCATACGCATAAGCCTTCTATTCATATATTTTCTCTCTATTGCGACAGTACAATTGGGGTTCCAGTTAGCGCGATCTAATTCACCAAAGGACCACACGTGTCGATAGGCGACTTCAGGGGAGTGGCGACTGAGAAAGACCATGTCGCTGAGCCCACATCGACGGACTTAGAGATCAGGGTGAGCACGCCGGGGGTGGAGCTCTGTCACAGGTCGAAAATAGGCAAGTGACTGTAGTTACTTACCCCGATATTTGGTATCAGACGAAAAAGCAAACCCAAGTATAGCCGATCCAGGTGGCCGACATCGCTAAGGCACCAGTGCCGTAGCGATCTGGAACAAAAAGATCGCGGGTTTGAGTCCCCCCTCGGGCTTGGTTTTATTGTGTTCGTCCTTTCACCCCCATCATCATTTGGTGTCATCCCCACAGTTACCATACCGTTACAGGCAATAGTGGTCACTAATGACCTAGAAGTAGATGTGACCTTAAATAACAAAAAAAACTATAGATATATAAATATTCTCAATCTTTAAGTATCGCTGATTGTGGTATTGATTGCCACATCGATCAATATGATGCGTTTGTTGTTTTCAATACGGGAAATTAAATAGATTTAATTTGACGCTCCAGAATATTTACAATGAATTATAAATTTTCCATTACTTACGAACAGTCCATTACTTAATTTTCATATTTTATTTACTTAATTGAGACTAAGTATAATTATTTCATTTAGAAGATTAAATACGCTTTTTTATAATAAATAGTATTTTTCTGAAGGCTTTTTCACCATCATGTGGGTGCTGCGGGCGGTGAAGTAAATACTCTCTAAGCGCACCTTTAGACGGCGCCAGGGACAGTTGAAACAGAAGCAATCGGCCATGACAATTCTGAATATTGTGTATTTTACCGAAAAAATGAAATCAAATCAAATATTTTACTCGACGATGAAGATACTCTATTGTCTTCTATATGAAATTACTTTTTTCTCAAAGACTTTAACAGGAAAGTGTGTGATCCCAAATAGGGAACAGACAAGCATTTAAATGTCAATGCTACAAAGAACAATCGATCATTAAATATCGGGAAAGTATTTTTATTCGCTACAACAGTTTTGCTTGCTTTTGATTCCACGATTCG